TGAGAAAAATGCAGGGTGAAAGGGACTTTCATGATTTCTTTGATATTGCTGTTTTTTTATCTATACTGCTTATTTCCAAAAATGCACTATAATTTAGCACAGGAAATTTACTGTACCTAGAATATATGAAGTCTTTAAAATATATTAATAAAGCAGGGAGGAATTGACAGAGAAACAAAAATTACTCAGGCAGTTTGTATTTACTAGGGCAAACAGTAAACTTCTTTTACCAGTCTCACACTTCTAGCATTTTTGATCCCTCTGGTAAATGAACAATTCTGAAATAGAAATACATGTGCCACCACCTTCTTAAAATTTGTGATAAAGGACTGAAGCATGTAGAAATAGGAACTTTTCTCAAAACATAGACAATTTAAGTGTGTCTATGTGTGTCCTTTCTTATCTAGGATAACTGCATCCCAACTTTTTTGGGTGAGTTTTAACAAGGTAGTTATCCAAATCCTTTTATTACATGCTATGTACATCCATCTCTCTTACCAAGAACATCATATCAAGAGTAATTTAGAAAGTTAAAAAAAATCCAGTCTATTTTGAAAATACTGATGCTTAATACCTCTTTGGGTTTAAAATCTTATAAAACTGGCATTTGTAAGCAGGCTTGGCAGAAGGTTTTTAGAACTAGATCAGGAAAACAATCCTAGGTTTATAAAATTGCCAATGTCACAATATCCCCCATGCCTTGTGAAATGGTTTTGGCAAAACAAGAACTGAAAATAAAATTCTAAGATGTAGCTTGGTAGTGCGAGCAACACAGGGAAACTTCTTGTGAAATCCTGTCACAGGAGGAAATATTTTTGTAGTTCACTTCTCCTTTATTTCTCTTGCTTGTCTTTCTCACCTCTCCCTCTTGCAAGGCGCTTGTCCCAGTCCACTATGGGCTGTTGTGTGTGTGTTCCCCCTTCCATACCTGGCTGTGCCATGTGATAGAAGATTCCCCACATCTGGCTGCAGTGGCCATGCCAACCGCTGTGGTCCCACTCTGGGGACTTGTAAGTCCCAAGACCCTCTGTTCTTCTCCCCATGTAATTTGGAAGAGGGCTTGCCCTTTTCCATCACCCTTATAAAAACCCTTGCTCACATTGCTGTGCACCTCACTGCCCAATCTTAAGCAATGCTCCCAAAAGTATTTAACCCAATTTCATGATTTCTGGGTTAAATTCTGGTGAGTGGGGAGTCCAGTTGTCTGTCTCGAGCCTTTTTCTTTCTGCATCCAACAATTCCTTCCCTTGGATCACAGGCCTTATTCTTTTTCTTATTCGCATTTATCGGGCAGTTAGAATTGGCTGCCCCTGCTGATTTAATAACTTCTGGTAGCAGCTGCATGATTGCAAACATGAGCTTGCACAATCACTCGTAAACATGGCCATCTTCGGTGGAATGCCTTCTAAGAAAGCCACTTCTCCATATGACCATTTAATCAGCCTCACCCTTGCCTGGGTACAGAATAGCAATTGTAGGCACATCTGGCCATCCCCCACCCCAAAAAAGCCCCACAGTACCAGCATCATTTAGATGTTGTGGTGCAGCATCATTTAGAATAGTGCTGGGCCCACGCAGGATCCGGCCCATGGATTTACACAGATCCACGCAAAGATAGATGTCGAAAACTTTCAGTCAGAGGGGCTGTTGGGGTGGTGTTACCTGTTACATCCATTTATCCCCAGCTTTCTACCCAAGTTCTGCTTCAGCTAAATTTCTCCCTGTCAGCCCAGTTCACACCACTTGACTCTCCACACTTGGTTCATATTCAGAAGTTGCTTATGAAATGAACAAAACATCCCACAGCCTCAACTGTCAGCACTCTAGAGTTAAAAGGCATGAATCTAGCCGAATAAACAACTTGGAGATTATGTATTTGCTTGTGCAGGTACAAAACGGTGAAAGATTTGGTCCCTAATTATGGAAATTCAACAGTATTCCATTCTAGCGTCTTTAGATAAGAAGTAGAAGTCTGGGTCACAGTAAAGCCCATTGGCAACCTGGTCTTTTCTGTAAAAATACTACTGATAATAATATATGTATGTGTGGGTGAGTTAAAACTGTTAATTTTCAAAACTGTTGCAGCTATTTTAAGAAGGGTGGGGTTCAGTTTATGAAACACCAGGCTGTTTTTGCATTTGTAAATCTAATTAAACAAAGCAGACTTTATTTAATTTTATTCTCCCTCTCACCAACCTGTGGACAGAATTTCCATATTGACCTGGGTTCAGTTATCAAACTTACAGCTTTTGTGGTGATTTTTATCTCCCGTGTTAGTAAAAGAAACAGTGCTCTGAACATACACCAGATTTCCTTCCAGAGCTCTAGTAGAAAGATATGGTCAGGAAGAAAATTTTGAGCTTTATGTGCCAGATTTAATAAACAAGATTTGTTTATTAAAAACAAAATATTTCTGCTTTTCTGTTTCTGTTAAAATGTAAAGTATGCTGAATTGCTTATTTCACAAGTGAGATCAGTTCCTTTTTTTAAAAAAGTAACATTGAGAGTTCTGATTTGTGTAAAAAAAATCAATATTTTTGTTACATTTCTCTAATGTCTAATCATTGAAATTCTGTCTTCTGTTTGCAACAGTTAAAACAATAAAATACAATAACAAGATAAACATAACATAGAAATTTATATCTGGAGTACAAAACCAGTGTAGGCAGTATGGGTGGATTAAAAATAACAGCCAGTTGTGTTTCCATGAGCCCCTTCCTCATTAAGAACTATAAAGATCAGGACTTCTCAAAATAATGTTTTGTTGAAATTAACACGAGAAAACATTTTGCCATCAGCTTGCATTTAAATCAGAGCTTTCTCTTCAATTCCTCACATCTCAAGTGGCCTTGAGGGACAAAGAACATTTTAAAGAGATCTTCTGTGGACTGGGATGTGGTATGAACCATGCATGATTTTGGGGGATCCAGGTTTCAGTCCCCATTCCGCCAGGGAGCTTCCTGGGTGACTTCGGGCCAGTCGCTCACCCTCAGCCTGGCCAACCTCACAGGGTGATTGTCACAAGGATAAAATGGAGCGGAGGCGCTGGACCTCATAAAGCACCTTGTGTTCCTTGCAAGTCAAGAAAGGCAGGGAGTCAATTTAGTGTAACAGCCACAGTTGTATTTGTGATGTGCTGTCAAGTTATCTCCAACGTATGGTAACCCTACGAATGGAAGCCCTGCCCAGCCCTTGCAAATTCAAAGCTATGGCTTCCTTTATGGAATGAACCCATCTCCTATTTGATCTTAGTTTTCTTCTTTTGCCTTCAGCTTTCCTGAGCATGACTGTCTTCTCCAGGGAGTTTTGCTTTTTCACGACATGCCCAGGGAAGGCAGCCTCAGTTCTTGCTTCCCGGGAAAGCTCTGCCTTGATTTAATCCAGGATCTACTTTTTTTTGTTGTTTTTCTCTCAGTCGAGGGTATTCCCAAAGCTGCCTTCCACTGTCATGTTTCAAATGCATCAATTTTCTACCTGTTAGCTTTAATAATCGATATGAACCTCAAATTAATGGAATACTCTGATTTTTGTATTCACAAGCAATGAATCAATATTGCTTGTAGGAGGGGAAAACACACACACCCATAAAAAAGGGATAATGATCAACAAAGTGTGTTCATGATGAAATTTTAAATGTTGAGTTGAATTACATCATTTACTTATTTTAACCTTAAAAGAATAAAATCCAAAAAAATGAAGAGGAAAACACAAAAATGTATACATTTCAATTAAACAATTTTTATTGTTTTACAATAAAACCTTGTAAACATTACAATAAAACAATAAAACGTTTCAATAAAACAATTCCTTCAATTTTAAGGACTCCTGCTTAAAATTGAGGAATAGCATTAATTGCTTAAAGCTCAGTAGAGCAGTTAGTTTCTACCAGCCATCCAAAAGCCAAAAACCTGAGATACAGTAAAAAGTTAAAGTAAAATTTGTGGCAATTCCTTATTGCCACATTACTTTAAAGAAAAGCTGTTCTACTTGATTTGCATATTTGTAGTGACTTTAAATAGCTTTAAATCTTTGCCATAATTTTTGTTGAAAATGTGTTTGGTCCCATTTCTGCATGGTCCATTTAAACTCATTTTTACACTTAAAAAAGGGAAGATTCCTTTTTTACATCTCACTTACCATGTTTGTATGTTTAACATGTTTATTTAAGATTTAAGAATTCAGATTTATGGACAAGAAAGCTCATGTATCTTAATGCAAATATATTTAGTGGGGCACATGAAGGTAGATTTAGAAAATATTTCCTCTTGGAGAAATGAGATAAATTTGCCTAAATTATAGAGGTTTGCTCTTTAACATAAGCTTGTCAGGACTCGTCAGCAACAAATGGCACATTTTGGTGATGAAAGACTTCGCTGATGAAAGACTTAGAAATTAATAAGAATTGGGCCCCTGTGATTTTTAGGGGTGTCACCTCTGGGTGCTGTTCTCACTTGGTTGGTTGTTACAGAATTTCCCAAAAGTTAAATTCTGGTGAGGATCTGGTGACACCCTCACAAAAGGCTGGTTCGTGCTACAAGCTTTGGGCCGCAGCCCTGCTCTGTCCTCGCCAATATGGCACACCCTCCCAGCCATGTTCTCTAGCAAGGATGTGCATAAGCACACTGCCTGTGCTAGCAGGGGCACCCCATTGCCCTCGAGACCTTCCCGTTGCTCCCTCGCGGATTTGTCCAGTCTCCTTTTAAAGCCATCCGAGTCGGTGGCTGTCACTCAGGGAACTGCCCCCCACTCAGGACTTCAGGTTGTTCCAGCACGCCGGATGTCTGGTTCACCAAACATGTCAGCTTTCCTAGACCGCCTCTCTCGAGAAAAGCTTTCTAATGAATCTCGCTTGCACAATGCAGGGTGGGGAGAAGGAGGTGTGAAAGAGGCCCGGAGACTCGGCAAGTCGCTTCCAGCTGGTAGCGGTGCTTGCGTGGGTGCACGCGCTCCCATTTTCTCCAGTTTCAGTCACTGAACTTGTCGTTTTCCTTTGCTCATAGGATTTTGCATCCCGTGCTAAGCTGGCTGTCCAGAACCTTGTGCAGAAAGTTGGATTCTTCGGTATCCTGGCGTGTGCTTCAGTAAGTATTCTCCTACAAGCAAATTGACTGGATCCCCTTCGACTCTCCCTTTGCTCTTCCGGGGGCCAGGGAGACATAAGTGTGTTCTTGTTATTATGATCCCATATTTCAGGATACTCCTTCTGTCCAGCTTTTCACACAGATAGGCCCTCCTGAAATGGTTCATGCCAGTTCAGAGCGATAGGAAGGGAGCTGGGGGCAGGTGTGGAAATTAAACAGATTAACTCACTTCACTTGAAGGTTTTAAGCTCTGACTTTTTTAGACTATTGTGTCATGCTTTCCTGGCCTGGCAGCTTCCAGAAGTTTTGGCGGTCTCTCCGCCCACTCCTGAGTTGGCCTTGGTGGTGACCATCGGAGCCGAAGTCTGAAATGTCTCCGGACTGAGAGACGTTGGCCTCGGCGTCTCGGCCAGTGGTGTCCCTCTTGAAAACTCTGTGTTTGGCACGAGCTTCCCTGGTCAGTATGGGAGCCACTACCAGGACCGAGAGGAGCAGTGCTTCCCCCATCAGAGCCCTGCTCTCATGCAGAAGGCCCCAGCGCAGCCTCAGGCATCTCCAGGCGGGGCTGGAAAATTCCTGCCCCAACCCTGCCAGTCTGTGCAAATCAGCCGGTCGCAAAAAGCCGACCGCTGGATGTCTTGAAATTCTGCTCTCAGCTGTCCTGGCCCACGGCGGTGCTGACAGAGGCCTATGCAATCCGAAGCATGAGCTGGGCAATGTGGAGATGAAGGCATTCCCCTGCCCACCCCATGCCACTGGACCCCAGTGTGAAGCCGCTTCGTAACCGTGGATGGCGGCAGACGTGGGAGAGAGGAAACAAAGGTGGTCCCCACACGGTGCTGAGATGAACGCTGAGGAATGAATTTGCAGGGCCTGGAATTCAGGATTCTCTTGGCCAGTGCCCCCTGCGCCCCATCTCTCTGTCGCCTCCCTCCCGGCCCGGTCGTAGTCCCATGTGCCAGTGCAGACAGACACAAGCCCGACAACACCCTGCATTCCCAGCCAGCCCAGTTTCCTTTGGGCGTGCTGGGTTCGTCAGACATTTTCTGCCTCAGCAAACGTCAGATTGCCCAGTTCTTAAATAACTGTATTCTTATTTGTAACCTGTGTTCTTAGTGTGGAGGGATCCTTTTAAGGATGCCATGATAAATAGGGCAGAAATAGAGAAGCTTTGCTCTGCCTGGAGCTGGTGTGACTTCAGCTCCCACCAGTGTTCAGCATTAGTGGCTGGAGTGGGTATGAACTGGAGTCCAACAGCGCCTAGGCCTTCCCTTGGTCTCCCAGCTGGCCAAACTCATTTATTCCACCTTCTTTCTTTCCTGCAAGAATTCACAGCTTACATCATCTTCTCCTCTGCATCTTATCCTCACAGCAGCCCTGTGAGGTGGGCAAGGCTGAGGGTCCAGGACTGACTGAGTTGCCCGGTGAGCTTTCTGGCTGAGCAGGGCCTCGAACCCAGGTTCCCCAAGTCCCAGTCCAGCACTGGCTGTCTTTTGCCCCTCTGTAGGGCTGTTATGCCCTTGCCCTGTCATCCAACTGCCAGGGTAAACTTGCACGACTTTGGCGCAGAGTTTCAGAAGGGAGAAATTGAAAACAGACTTTCAGACATACAAGAATAAAAGGTTCTTTGAGAAAAGTTCGTTAGTCCCCCGTGCTCTCCTCTGAGCCCTGCTCCAAGCACGGCTCTGCATCGCCGAACTCCTCCTGAGCTGCTCAGCTTAGCTAAACCTTCACAGCGTTTCTTTTTCTGGGTCTGAGTCACCATGTTGCAGTCAGCGCTGTTGAGCCATCCCTGAATAAACTGACCTGAAGCACCGTGCAGGCTAACTGGAAATCACACGGCAAGAAGGGAGCTGTCAGTCTGTCTGTGGGCACCTCTGGCTTTGCCTTTCCCTTGCTTCACGTATCAATACTCAGATAATCAGTTTAGTCGAGGGGTGCTTTGGTCCCTCTTCTCCCGACACATGCCCTGGCACCATGCCGGACGGGCCGGCCCGCCATTGGCTGAAACGGGGTTGGAAGTGGAGGGTTTCTTTCCTCTTGCTGATGTTCTCAAGCTGTGCCACCGAACAGGGCTCAGCGCCTCCCCTTGCCCAATAGCCGCCTCTGCGTTTGTGTGGTTCCCGTCTTCTCCCCCGCCCCACTTCTCAAGGACGGAAGTCCCACTCCTAGCACTTCACGACCAGCAGTAAGAGCTGCATGTCGAGTCGGGAAACCCCCAGCACCCCCCAGCCAGCCGGACTGGGGCTCCTGGAAGCTTTCCCAGAAAGGGAGCTCGGCCCTGAACGAGGGCGCCAGGAGAGCCCTGCGGAAGGGGCCCTGTGTCTGAAGGCAGGCTCTTTGGCCGTGCCGGTCTCAGGATCAGGACCCCCAAGGGCGCAGAGCCGCCCCAGCAGCCGCCGCCACGCAGGGAGGTGTGAGCGGGTGGCCGACGGAGGTGGGCTCGCCGGGGACTGGGCTGCAGGCTTGGCCCCCACGGTGCGCCGTGTTGCATGTGTGGGTCAGGGTTGCGCGCTCTTCCTGGACTGGAGAGGCGGCAGTGACGCATTCACCGGTCGAGTGTGCGTCATGCCGAGCCACAGGTGGCTGCAAAGTGCGTTATCGGGCTGTTGGTGCGCGACCCGCCCCCAGAACGAACGGTGGGTCGTCAGGGGTGGTTCGTGGAGCGCTTCTTGGCGCGCCTGGGTTCCAGCAACATTTTGATGGCAGCCCACCGTTCCATGACACCCCGCAGTCGACCCTTGACTCTGGGTTGTCATGTTCTCTGAACCCACCCAGTGTGACGACATGGTGAGGGGGCCGGGCTGGGCTGGGACAGGGAGTCCCAACTTCTGCTGCTCTGCTCTGCCCTGCCGTGAAGCTTGCTGGGTAACTTGGGGCAGCCATCGGCTGTCAGCTTCAGCCTTGCCCACACGGGAGAATGAAACGAAGAGGAGGAAGGACAGTGCAAGCTGCCTTGGTGGAGGAAAAGAACAGGGCGCAAATATCTTGATCAGGGCAGCATATTTGCTCGTATCCGTGAAAGCTGGCACGAGCGGATCAGCTCTCTCTCTCAGCCTCTGCCTTTTCTGACAACTCGTAAGGGGCCACCGAGGCAAGCGAGGCCAACCTGGCCCGGGTAGCTTGGCAGCGCTGCCTCTTTGACCCTGAACCACCCTGCCCATCCTTAGCCACCTCGGAGGCGTTTCTTCTGCAGAAAGGGAGAATAAAACTCAGCCAGAATAAACCAGAGAGGGAAAACTGCAGGTGGAACGTGTGCCGCACCTTCTCGCTTGAGTTTGTCTGAGGACACCAGACGGGTCCAGCCCCTGCTTGCAGGTTGCGCTCCCCCTGTGCCCGTCGGGGGCCTTGCAGGACAAGCCACAGCGAAAGGGTGCGGTGCCCGAGATTTATCTGCAGAAGAGGTCAGGTAGTTTCTTTCACTCGCGGGGAACGTGATAAAACTTTTGCCCCATCGGTTGTGCAACTGCTGGTGTGTCTATGTTTTATTTTGAAAAAAAGCAATTTTGGTTTTGAGCATGACCCATCTTCCCTCTTGCGACACCCGAAGTTTAATCGCGAGAACATTTTGTGCTCCTTTTGTCCAATATGAGTAAACACTCCCCTGTTTCTCCTTCTCACTGGGTTTTGCTTTGAGCGGCACTGAATCCCACACTGTTTTCTGGTCTGCCCTCCACAGCACCTTTTTCCTTTTCAAAGAGCTCAAAGCAGCTTACATGATCTTGATCTGGGTCACTTTCTGTGACAGTGAGGCCTGGAAACTTTAAAAAGCGCAACACATTCCGTGCCCTGCCATGTAGATGTGGAGTAGTCCTGGAGGAATTTTGCTTTTCCTGGATTCCTGGTTAGCAGCTCTTTCTCACTGGAGGGCTACTTGAAAGAAATGCTGAAGAACGCAAGGAGAGCTTGTTTCCTTGCTCCCAAAGCGCTTCACTGCCAGGTGCCATGGCTAACCTCCTGGTGAGGCTGCTGTCCCATGGGTCCAGGGCTGTCTTTGCTTCTCTAAAGGAACATCTTTAATTTTTCAGCCAGTTTTCTGTCTCCTTTGAAGGTATAGGAAGACCTCCTGGCTGCTGCCCTGTTTCACGGAGCCATAAATGCCAAGCCATAAATGCCAGGCTTGTCATCCAACTCCGTTTGTTTCAGACGCAGTTCGCAAAGGATCGGTCTTGCAGACTGACTCACTGTGGGCCAGTGCACTTGCTGGGAACACTGTTTGATAGATGACTCTAACGCGGCTGTGGTTTGTGTGCATTTCTGATAGGAGACGTCAGTTGGCTGTTTCTAATCTGGGGATAAGAAGAGGGAATCGGGCAGGATCTGTTGTTCATCTGGGGCATTGTCTAGCTGAGGTCTCCCCGATATTTTGTTTTGTTTTGCTCGTAATTTATTTGCTGTGAGACTGACATTCTTGGCCGGGGGACTTTGACAATCAACAGGCACGCTCATCATTTCTCCCGCCGCAAGGGGTCAAGAATCTTAACAAGACCCTCGCTAAATCGGAGCAAAGTTCATCTACACTAGCCTTCCCCAGTCGGGTGCCTGAGCTGGCATGGGGATGATGGGAGCTTGAGGCCAGCACATCTGGAAGGCACCTGGTGAGGGAAGGTCAGTCTAGGTCAGCAATGATTGGTTTAAGTTACGAGCTGCCCTTTGACCAGGGTTGAGTCCCCGGGTGGCCATGACGCTCGCTCTCAGCCTAGCGGACCTCACAGAGTCATTGTGAGAATAAAATGCAGAGGAGGAAGTCTTTGTAAGCCACCTTGGTCCCTTTCACTAAAAAAGGCAGGATATGAGTACAGTAAAAATGAAAAACACTGCTGCCAATACTCATATTAAAAACGATGAAAGGTACAGCTTTAAAGGCCTTGGAGAATACAAAGTGTTTTCCTGGCACCAGAAAGTCAAGTAAGTATATACCAGGTTGTCCCCTCCAGAGAGTTTAGGGTCCACCACAGAAAAGACCCGTTTTTCCAAGCTTCTTGGCCTTCCTCTCCTCCTCCAGTTTTTTCTATCCTTCTTGAGGTTCTAGCAATCTTGTGTCTCACCTCTCCTTTTCGTTTTCTCCCACTCTCCCTTTTTCAGATTCCGAACCCCCTCTTTGACCTGGCAGGAATAACATGCGGGCACTTCCTTGTTCCTTTTTGGACTTTCTTCGGCGCCACCCTGATTGGAAAAGCAATAATCAAGATGCACATACAGGTAACCCTCGTCTGCCACCTTTCCCAAAGCGCCACGTGTGTCTGGGGGGCCTTTTCTTCACCAGCACAAGTTCTTGCGGGTGATCTGGCCTCAAGCAGGGCTCTGATCCTGATGAATCACCACGTCCTGGCAGGCAGCAGTTCTTGCCCTGGCAGGCTTGACTGCAGCTCACAGCTTTCTCATGGGTGGCAGCAGCTGCGTTGAAGCTGAGCACCGATTGGAATGTGCTCGTGTCATCTTCTACCAGGCATATAGTCTGTTCTCCCCCTGCTTTCTCTTATTGGGAGCAGGGCTGGCATAATGGCCAAACGCAGCCCATGTTCCCTGGTGTGAATCGGCAAAGCAGCTCAACTCACACGCACACGCCTGCTTTTCCTTCTGCAAACTGGGGGATAGAAGTCACAGATTACTTTAGAGGGTCGTCGGAAGAATCGCAGTAAAGGAACGTTTTGGAGAAGTGAAGCGGGCCCTATATGTGTTAGCAGACAACGGTACAGATTATCAGACTGCCAATGCCTTCTGAGAACTTGGCCTTCCTGAAGCGGGTGGTATACAAATGCTTTGGATCACAGCTTCCGCAATTCCTGGCTGCTGGCCAAGATGGCCGGGACAGATGGGTGTAGCTTGGCCTACCCTGGTGCTTGCCAAAAGGTTTTAGGCCTCAGCTCCTATCAGCCCTAGTCAGCAGGACCCTATGAGGCAAGACTGAGGGAACTGGGTCTCTTCAGCCTGGAGAAGAGCGGACTCCGAGGGGATCTGTTGGCCACATGTAGGTATGTGAGGTGGTGTCCCACAGAGGTGGGTAGAGCCCTGTTCTCCCCTGCAGAGGAGGGCAGGACACACTCCAACAGAGCCAAGCTCAGCAAACCAAGGTTCAATTTGGATGCCAGGAAGCACTTCCTGACAGTTAGGACTCCGAGGGTATGGAATGGGCTTCCACGGGAGGTGGTTGAGGCCCCATCGGTGCAGGTGTTCAAGGATAGGCTGGACGTCCACATGGTGGGCATGTTGTGAGTGGAGCCGGCTAGAGCTGGGGGTCAGACTAGATGGTCCAGGAGACCCCTTCTGATTCACTCTGTTTCTATAAATCCTGGGAGCTGCTGTCCAAACTATATGAAGGGGTGCAAGATGGAGAAGGCAGGTTTAATCAATATGTAACATAGAAACATAGAAAACAGAGCGAGTCAGAAGGGACCTCCTGGGCCATCTAGTCTGACCTCCGGTACCAGCCGGCTCCGCTCACGACACGCCCACCATTCCTATGGATGAGGCCTGGGCAGAAGCTGCATTCAATGTGTGGGTGGGAGGGGAGGCGGGGAACTGGCTTGCTAATCTAAAATTAGCAAGCCAGCTCTGTGGCTACGGAAAGAGCGGCCGCGTCCAAGCCCTTACTTTCGCATCCAGAAGTGCACAGCATCATGTCAAAGAGAATGGCAGATTGTGTGCGAGAGAGAGCGAGAGCCGTCCTGGCAAGCTGTCCTGGTTTTTCACACAGTTCAAAGACAACACCTCCAAGAAGGTTATAAGACGAGTTGAAATTGGGTTCAGAATTAGACTAGCGATAATTTCTATTTACAGACAATTTAAATGTTCCCCTCCCCTTTACCCAAATGGAGAAAGAGTGTGCACAGTCATATTGAACCTACATTTTTATCTGCATGTTTCTGCCTTCCCCGTACAATTCTGAAAGTTCTCTTCATCATAAAAATCTACTCTGCAAATCATTATTTTTTCTCATCGGTTGGTTGTATTTACATATTTTGCTTTCTGTGCAAACTTGATAATGCAACACCTATATTAACGGTGTTAGATTCCCTTTTTTAGTGTTAATATTTTACTCTTACTGGTGTTAGGTGAGTTGTAATCAGTTAAAGGAAGGTGCCACAACACTCATTTAAATAAAATAAATATGGCTTTTTTAACTGATGTAGAAAAAAGCTGTCAGAAATTTCAGGTGTATATGAACCTGCTGCATGGGAAAAATGCCACGGTGCCATCTTATGGGCAGAGAAAAGGCCTACGACTCCCAGCATGCATTAAAATCTCCTTCGAACTCACTTGCTGATTGATTGGTTGTCACATCCTTCCTTATTTCCTCCAAAGAACCTCTTCTCCGTCTTATCCTCATACTAACCCTGTGAGGTAGATGAGGTTGAGAGCCACTGCCTGGCCCAAGTCCCCCCATAAAGCTGGATAGGTTTCCCACCACGACCACTACCATAGCCCTTTCCCAAGATCCTCCGTCCCGTTCCCCTCGCCCTCTTCTCAGTTTCCCGTGTTTCTCCCACTCTGCCTCCCCAGTGGTCCCTCCACATTTCATGGCCACTGGGCAAGCTTGAAACTTACTCGGGTGGGAGTCACCCCATAGGTTTCCCTTCGGGCTTTCCCTAACCCCATCCTGGAATGCCGTCTCTACCCTCCTCCTCCTGGTGCTAAGGTCAAGGGTTTTCTCTACATCCTCATCCCTGTCACTATGTGAAAGGCTTTTGTTTTCAGTGCATTTCTTTGTATAAAATCACCCTATCTTTATATATGCCTAGTTCTATGTCACCTATTATATTTTTAGGGGTGTAACCTTTGTACACTACCCAGAAAGCTGTGGCTAATATAAAAATAGAATGCATGAATAAGGGAATTAATGCCTTTTCCTCCTCCGACAATCTTTGGGGTCCTACTTCTGCAAAGTCTGCCTCTTGCACAAGGGTGGCGCCAATTTTACTATATCAGGATTCACACTGAGTTCCATTTATGTAGAAAAATAGATGGGTGTAGGATAGCTCAACTTGTGTAGGCATCCCTGAGGGTAAGCAAACCGAAGAATCAGCGCTCTGCTGAGCTAAACTTTGGAGAACATGCTGTTCGGTAGTTGTTGTTGTTTGAGAATGTTATTTATAATGTTCTACACCCACATGTGGTTTGGTGACTGTTTAACGTTGGGTGAATCCTGCATGTGTCAGAAAAGTGGACATGTTCCTCCCATAGCCAGTTCGGACCAATTCTTAGTCTCTCTTTCTCCCAGCATGCTGTAAGTCAGTATCCTAAACTCGTCTCCCGTGTTGGTGTGTCCGTTTCTAACAGAGCGATAGGAAATAGGGTCAGCCTAGGTTTACCGTGAAATCCCCAACCCTCCGTGCCAAACAGGAAGCCACTGGACTCGGCCCAAAAGCTCTTGTTACTGCTGCATGCAATTCTCCTTTTACTCTGCACCACTACGACGGGTCTTAGGTGCTAACGGCAAACCCATTCTCCAGGGGGATCCTGTGTGTAGCCGAAACAGCCCTGTCCGTGTGGAAAGCAGAGCTGGGGAATCCCACAATTTGGAGAAGTACCGAAACATTTTGTCTGTGGGGAGAGAATCCCCTGGGTGCTTGTGGGGAGAACACCTGGAAGCAGCCCCGTGAAGGCAGAGGGCGGACTGTTGGGGAGGGTGGAGAATGCCAGCCTGGAAGGCATGGCCCGTGGAACGGAGTATCCTGTGAAAGGGCGTGCCATGGCGGATGGGCTCCCCAAACAGCAGGACTTGGTTGCGGTATTTTCCTGCAGGTCCCATTTCCATGCAGGGGAGGAATTTTGCTTTGCACGAAGAGCCAATTTGCTAGTCAGAGCAGTGCTGACCTTACCAAGCAGCTTGCGGCTCAGTCACACGCCTAAGTCACACGCCGTGGTACTCGTTTGCCCCTGGCTTAATGAAGCTGCAGGGGGGAGGTGGAGGGACCAAACCAGGAGAAGGTCCAAACCACGGAATGCATTGCTCACCCTTGATTTATGGGGTCTGATCTTTTTGTGGTTGCATCTGTCGCTGAAACACTATTTTCCAATTTTTTTAAAAACTTGTTTTTCTCTTAATTCCTTGAGCAAAAAAGAGATGGAGCATTTAAAAAAACAAGCTCTTTGGACACAAGGATCTTCAGGTGGCAAAGCTGTCACTGGACTGTACCACTTCAGGCTGCAAGTGGGGTTTATATACTTCAGCATTATGTTTTTAAAAATTTCCTGTATTTAACCACGGAAGACAAAATGGCAGGGAACATGTTTTTGCCTGCTTGCCGATCCGCTAGTTGCCCTTGTTTCTTAGCATGCAGGGTATTTTTGCAAGCCTGTGAAATGGTATAGTCCAAGCATAGCTGTACCACACAGTGAGCTCTTTGAGTCTTTTCTTTCTCTGAGGCTGGACCTTCTAAAGACCTGCTAGATTTCTTTCCCTCAGAGTCTTGATTCCTGTGACTCCATGTATTTGGGGAAGGCAGGGCTATCCAGTAGCATTGCTTGCTGTCCATCAGGCTCCCTGCTTCTCTTAATTTTTATTCGATTTCTGAAGAGTTTCAAAACACTTCTTAGTATTAGCTGGGAGATGCACATGTTGCAGAGTGAAGTGTTGCCCACTGGGCCACCTTCGTTTGGGTTCAAAAGACTGGCCAGGTGGTTTCTTGCTCAGACCCTACTTCTGCCTTGTGCTTAAACCATTTCCTCTTAGTCTCTCCGGCTCGGTTTCTGGAAAACCAATGTGTTGTCAGGGGCTGGTGTCGGCCATTTTAAGAATGGGCAGCCTTCCCCATCAGCCATTTTGTGAGCGCTCCCACAATGCACCCTCAGAGTCCCAGAGGTGCCCGCCAACTCAGCAAGGCGGAGGCCCCTGAGGAGGAGCATTGTGCATCGGTTAGTCACTTGATGTAGAAGTATTATCTCTTCCCATCCTTTGACATTATGATCCGCATTTTTGAATGGCCATATTTGTTTATCTTAAAAGCATTTCACCCCACTCTTCAGTCAAAAAGGTTCCAAGGGCTCTAAAAACAGCAACAAAGCCCAGTCCCCTGCCTTCAGGCCGACAATCTAAAAAGGAAAAACGGGCGGGAGGAAGGAGGGAAACCCAAACCAGACACCAGCTCTCGAGGTTACAAACTCTCAACAATCTGCTCTGTTGGAAACAGCTCGGGCAGCCTGATGGAAAGGCAACTGCTGGCTGGCTTGTCAGCCATCGGGAGGGCTAAAGGCAACTGGTGTCTCAGCAGAGTTGCCCAGCTTCCCCTCTCCCTCTGCTGCAGCCTGACGGAATGGGCCGTGGCATCGAGAGCTTTACAGAAAAGGAGCAGGCGCTTGAGCTGTGACTGTTTTTTTCAGCAATGCTTGTGAGACTCGCATAATATTTAGGGTGGTCCAAACATCAGCAACGATATCAAGGCAAGGGAGAACCACCCAATGCATTGGGAAAGCGCTTCTTTCCACTGGATCACGGGCTGCAAGTGTTGCCTAGCTTGGGCTTCTGTTTGTGTGAGTATCTCCCATGACTAATGTTCTTGTTCTTGCAGAAACTTTTTGTGATCATCACATTCAGCAAGCACATAGTGGAACAGATGGTGTCCTTAATTGGGTGAGTAATCTCCTCATGGCCCCTCACATCTAAGGGTGTTGAAAGTGCCAGTGGTGTTCAGGGCCGCACGCAGGATGCCCCAGGGGCTCCGTGCTTAGCTTTGCTACCACCGAAAGAGAAGGTGGTTGGGGAGGGGAGGGGAGGGGATAACCCTGGATCAGAATGTCTGCACTTGTTTGGGGATGGTTCCTAAAAATATGTTCTGGATTTCCAAAGCAGTTTACAACTTCCAAAACACTGATGAAGATCTGTGAAGTCAAAGGGACTGGACAATCCCTCCCAAAAAAGCCCCTTGCTATTTTAGTTTCAGTGTCTTCCTTTTAACTTTTTGGCTTTTTTAGAACTGGTGGTGGGAATGGCACAAATGCCAGGAAATGGAGCAACTCTCAGGTGTTGGGGGAGAGGGATGAATAAAAGAGGAAGAGAGAAGGGTCTTTTGGGGTTCCCTGATTTAAGGCCAGATTCCTCCCATGACCCCCAGGTTCCGCAACCTCAGTCTAAACAAATCAGACCATGAAAAAGGAATGGGATGATTTACTTGGGTTTTCTTCCAAGTTGGTGCATCTAGAATTTCAGCCTGCCGACTGTAAACCCTGGACTTTGCTAGCCGATCGCTTGACAGTACAGATTATCGGCTTACAATCTAACATCCAATACTGGATTTGTTTTGCTATGCAGGCCTTAAGTAGCAAAACATGTTGATATTTGGATGTTAAGACCTGCAGAGTCTCCAGAAATGGCTGAAATACAAAATTGCTGTTCAGAAGTGACCCGATGCTCTGATTTGGAAAGTGTTAGAGATCTCCGTGGAGCCACCATGAGCAAAATAAAGATGCAGGTTGCATTACCAGCATGTTGTTCTATTAAAGGAATTTGCTCACTTTTCATGGAGAAACTTCCTCACCACCCCCACCCCCAGTGTCCATCTGTGTTAGGAAGTGATTCAGACTTGCTTTAAAAGTAAGGATTTATTGACTCTTATGGGCAGGAAATAGAGCAAGGCTGCTAGATAACGACCCTGCAATTATTGTTGTTTTAAAATAATCTCCGGGCTGTGTGTACCGTCTACATTGCGGAAGAGACAATAGCTTGCCCCCCGCCCCTTCCCAAACTGCAACTGAATGTCCAGCTTTGCAAATATGTTGGCCAGAGAGGCACTGCGGGTGGCCACACATGGAACCATACAGCACCGTCGGATTTTAGGCTGAAAAAGAATAACATGCACACTGTCCGATGTTTGGAAAACAATGCAAATTGCTTTCAAATTCCTCGTTATATCCCGACATGCCGTTTTGTCTCCAGGTAGCAAGGACATCATTCTGCTGGGCTCCCTGAGCCAGGTCCTTGGTTGCATGGCACCGGGAGAACATGGGATGCTCCTAAACTGGGGCCCAGTTTGCAAGCTGGTTTCCATGTTCTGCTCAAATCCACAGGTGGGCTTCGAAGAAGCTAAGTGTGGGAGTGTGTCAGGGGCAGTACTGGGTTCAGGGAATGTGTCTGGGTGCCCCAGTATGGCCCCTGTTGCTTTGGCAGCCCCTGGGTGAGGTCAACCCACTTCCTCACCAGCAACCCTTCTCATTCTGGGCCCGATCCACATCCATCCCAGAAGGCGAGGCGAGGAGAGACCTTGGCTGCCACTCCTCCTTGCAGCTGGTGAGGTGCTGGGTTTGGCCCACAGAGCAAAGGTTCTGCACCCGTGCTCTGAGCAGCATCGTGTGGCTTTCTCCGGACCTGTCGCTGACAGAACAAAGGCCTGATTTACACACTTGGCATTTTCTCAAGCGGGGCAAAGACGTCTTGTCTCAAGGATGCTTTTCAGGATTGGAATGTCTGGAAATGATCGCTTCTGGAACTATGTAAACTCAACATGAGTAGCATTATACAAAGAAGTCGGAGTGTCTGAAGTAACATTCTTGAATGCTTCAGTGCTGGAACAAATCTTTTTTGTTATAACTTCCGGAGCTTCCAAATGAATCTTTTGTCGTTGCTACCAAAAACAAGCAAAAAGTCAATCAGTCCACATTTATTAATGACCCGTCTCGACCGTCTGCTTACTCTCATCAGACAAAGCTAACGTTCGGCTGCGTGAGGTACATTTTGGTACACTGACCGAGACTGCTAGCTTATTCCCCCACAATTACTCATCAGCTTTTGAGAGAGTCATCCCCCCCTCCCCAAACAACCCTTTATATCACTTAGCATCTTTATGAAGCCTCAGCCGGATTCAGGGTTTAATAAGATGGGTGATGTCAGACTTCAGAAATGTTCCTCAGAGAGGGTAAGATTTCTGGAATGTCCCCGGACTTCAGGTTTTTTTTCACCTCTTCCAGTTCCATGTCTGACATTTCCTCATCCATTCTTCTCCTCAGCAGCATATTTAAAAAAAGTGTAACCACTACTAGAATCAGAATAACTTTGTCATTATTAGATGCAAAAAGCTAACGTGCCTTTTTTTGCAATGTGCTAACATTTGCCTGGTAGCCACTTCAGTTTTTGGTTGTAATTTTTAGGCCGTCTGGGCATGGTTTTATCTAAATGTAAACATCCGTCAGCCCTTCTGATGTCTGTCAGATTCTTCAGCATGTGTGCTTAATTCTTCGCTGCCCCGTGCTCTGCTCCCCGCTCACCCTTTGGAAATGTGGTCTTAAAAATGGCTTAAAGCAAATAAGTGTTTGTTAAATAGCTTTCATTAAACTGAAGCGTTGCCTAATGAAGGGCAGCTCAGGCTGCAGTGCAGGGCAGAACCTTTCAGGGCGGTGCTGCTTTCTTCCGATTTTATTCCTTTCAGGCATATAACCTAAATAAAGCTGTTTTTTTAGATTGATTCATCCATCTACCTATTAAAGTTGGCGATGGGTGAAAATGCTTTGGAGGCGAGTATTTCTGCATGCACAGGTCCCTGATGAAAAGAAAGGGATTTTCTGTCCTCCTGACTTCCTCGAGAAGTTGTTCTACACCCAATGATTGGTCTTTTCGTGGCAGTATTGTCTACACCGACTGTCTCTCTAGTGTTTCAGGTTCCCTCCAGCCCTGTTTGGTGGCTAGGCCTGGGGCTTTTCCCATGCAAAGCATGTGCTCTGCTAGCACCGAGCTGTGTGCCTTCCCTTTGCAAGAAACTCGGATTCTAGTCCTCATGATTCTGAACCAAAGGGCAGGATTAAATTAAGAGCACAGGAACCTGCCTTATCCCATCGGGCTGCTGGCTCATCTGACTGAGTATTATTGACACAGAGCCACAGTTAACCCTGAGGGTTTAGGCAGGACTCTTTTCTAACCTTACCTGGCATTGTTGGGGATGGAACTGGGGAACATAGAACATGTAGTCTTTCACGGAGCTACAGCTCCTCAGAACGTGGTACCTGGAAGTCACCCCTTCTGCAGCATGAGAGATTCATACTCTTTGTGCATGTATGGAATTAATTTAAGTTCCAGCGCCGGGGGGATTCTTGGTATCCTGCCCTCTGTTTAATATTGTAACTAGCCCTGACTAATGCCTTCTTGATATACATTTTGCTGTGTCCCAGTCTTGTGCAGCAGTTCCAGCTTTATTTCTGAGACACTGCACTTGTGGCAACCTATATTTACTAAACCAAACTTGAACACAGGGGCCATGATTTCAAGACGCTCAAATTTAAGTTCCTCAAAGTCTTTGCTGCTGCTGTCTGGAAGCTTTCACACCCCACCCACTTGATTGAGTCAGGAAAATTTTGTCTCAGGGTTAAGGATGAGTGGCATCCTTTTTGTTCTTCTTCTTCTTTGGTTTAATCCCAGCAGTTTTAATTAATAAAACCTTTTTAGTGTTTCCTTTATCTCTTCGTGTTGTTTTGGCAGCCAGCGACATGACTGTGCTTGAAATCAGGAAAGGCTATCAGCGTTTAATATTTAGCTTGGAAGCGATCGTTCCTCAAAGAGGGGTGCAGGATTCCCAGTGAACTTTTTAAAACAACTGTGAACATGCACAACGGTTTGGCAACGGGTCAAATTAAGCCTCCCCCCCTCTCTTCCCCTCTGTTGTCCCAGGATTAATGAATATCTAGCGCGTTGTGATTGAGAATGAATATTCCCTTTCCAACCATTTCAGAGTTCCACTGGAGAACACATCCGTCCGCTCCCAACTTTCATAACGTGTTACATGACATTAGGCAGAGAAGCAGTGGGATCACAGAAAGGAGCTCCATGCTGCGCAGATCTTAAACTGATTTAATCAAATACTCCGGGATGCATTTTTTTTTTTTTTGAGTCGTTGCCATAGATTTGGTCAGACGTAGGCTGCCCAGCAGCAGAACTAACGCTTTTGCTGCTCGGGGGCCCCCCGGCATGGAAGACAGACCAGGGGAGCCGGTAACTCAGTAACAGAGTGGGACCCTGCAAGAGCGTAAAGATCCCGGACTGTCCCAAGACCTGTGGCTGCGTCGGTGAAGGAGAAGCCGCTTCCTCCTCCTCCTCCGTGTACAAACGCGAGGGCCGCTGCACTCACAGGTCGCTTGTGGGTTTTCTCAGGCAGCCGTCTGACCTGTGTGTGGCATCGGGGTGGGCAGTGTAGGCCCTCGGTCGGACCCAGGCAGAGCCAGCCCTGCAGTTCGACAGAACGACACAGCCGTTGCGGGCAGCACTGCCTGCTGGGCCTCAGAGAAGACTCTGTGGGGCACCCTCTGTCCCTCAATGCCCGTTGCCTGGGGCAGCTGCCTCACTCTGCTGGTGGCCCTCTCGACATCCCGGGTCAGTGCGTTTCCTCGTTTCACCAGCTAAGCAGCTGCTGCAACAGCAGGGGGGTGGACTAAATGGCCTTCACGGCCCCTTCCAACTGTACTCTTCTGTGATTCTGTTGATGCCAGTCATCTCAAGGGCTGCATCCCAGGGTTGGGTGATGCCAACATCTCCCAGATGCCCACATATTAGGATTTAAAGTTCTGGCTGCCAGCAGCCAAGCCTTAGGAGGTCCATGGAAGCTGGTGCCTCTGCGTGCAGACCGCTTCGTTTGCATGTCCGTGTCTTCTCAG